CACTTTGAGAACCCCTGGCGTAAGCTCATGAAATTCGCTCCTTCCTCAATGTGAAGGAAGATATGCACAGCTTCCCCCAGTTATGAATTGCACAAACTGGGTTTTGGAATAAACAAAAAACAAGTTTATTAACGACAAAAGTACATTTGAAGGGATTCTAAGGGATAGCAAACAGAACAAAGCAGATTACTGAGCAAATAAAACAAAACACACAAACTAAGCTTAATACACTGAGGGATACTGGCTACAAATAATGATTTCTCACCCTAAATGTTGTTTCTAGCAGGTTGCAGTTTCTTGAAGGTAAACTGCACTGCTTTCAGCTTAAATCTCCAGGGATTCCTTTTACAGGCTGACCTTTCTCTCCTGGGCTCAGCCTGTGCCTCCCCCCAGATTAGTTCCTCTGTTTCTTCAGGTGTTTTCAGCAGTCTTCCTTCTTGGGCGGGGAGGCAGTGGAGAAGAGCCAAGATTAACTCACTCCCCAGCCTTAAATAGGATTTACAGGTGGCGGGAATCTTTTGTTTCCTAGCCCACCCCCTTCCAGTGGAAAAATACCAGCTCAAAATGGAATCCCGTACCAGGTGACACGATCACATGACCTTGCAGTGTCAAAGCAGCCTCCCAGGAAGCTTCTCAGGAAGGAGGAAGATTAGTATCTTCAAAGACCTATTGTCCTTCCTAATGGCCCATCCCGGATGTTTGCATACTGTCTGGTGGGCGTTCCCCAGGTGAAAACACAGTTGTAATTATTACATAGTCAATATTTCTAACTTCAGATACAGAAATGATACATTCCTACAAATAGGTTAATCATATCCAGTAAATCATAACCTTTCCAATGATACCTCACATGACCCATCTTGCAGAAAGCGTATTTTAGTTATGCCGTATTCATATCACACAGATATTCCTAGGAAGAATATGGGGTGTAATGTCACACTTACATATATGAGATGCAAGATCTAACACAATGCACATTTGAGTGGCAGTCTGAAGGTGCAGTTACACTTCATCTCTCCGCCTCACTTTCCCCATCCATAAAATGGAGATCCTAGCAGTTACCTACATCACAGGAGTTCCATGAGGACTCATGAGTCAGGCTTTGTCTACACTGGAAAGTTTTTTGGTATAACTTTAGTTTTTCCTCCATAAATTCCCTTGCAGCCATACACACAATTTCTTTTTTCAATGTACCTGGCGTTTTATCCTGATTTACTTAATACTTTTTAGAAGCAACCTAACTCTATTCTAGAATGAGTTATACCTGCATTACCCTTTTGAGTTAACTCTACCGCTTCAGACAGTCTACTAAGTGAATCACAGCTGTCGTTCATGCAATCGGATTTCTATCCCTCCTGTTCACTGCACGGGTCTTGCATGGGCGTGTGGTTATGCGAGAGCTTCATCTATGTTAAAATGCATGAAAATCACAGGAATGGGTTGACAAACACAATAGGTAAGGGAGGCAGAGTTACAGGGCGAGGCTGTGGTCAGAAGACCGGCTGTGTAAAAACGGCCCCTTTTTCCTTATCAGATCAGTATGGGGTGGGGATGTTGCATAGAGGACATGTTTATACTGTGCAGCTTGGGCACATATGGATATAGGAGATACAAATCTTGAAAGTCTTCTGCTTAAGATAATGGAAGCAAAGTAACGACAACGATTCATGGGGACTCTGGGCAGCGGTATAGACCAGTGGTTCTCAAACTAGGGCCGCGGCTTGTTCAGGGAAAGCCCCTGGTGGGCCGGGCCGGTTTGTTTACCTGCCGCGTCCGCAGATTCAGCCGATCGCAGCTCCTAGTGGCCACGGTTCGTAGCTCCAGGCCAGTGGGAGCTGCAGGAAGCAGTGTGGACCGAGGGGCATACTGGCTGCCGCGGCCCCACTGGCCTGGAGCGGTGAACCGTGGCCACTAGGAGCTGCGATTGGCCGAATCTGCGGACGCGGCAGGTAAACAAACCGGTCTGGCCCACCAGAGACTTTCCCTGAACAAGCAGCGGCCCTAGCTTGAGAACCACTGGTATAGACCACCAAATCCTGAAGAGAAGGCGGGCAAGGGTCTTAGAACAAGGCAAGAATCGGGGGAAAACATAGATGCCAAGGCAAAGGCCAATATGCTTAGTAGTTATTGGGCTTCAGTCCATAAAAAGGCTAATAGTAACAAGGTATTTGGTGTAATAATAGTTAATGTGGAAGTAAGACAAGGCAGGATCTGGGACGAGAACTGGTTAATCATCACTGGACTGTTTTCAGAGAAGCAGGGCTCAGCGAAATTTGCTGTAGAGTGCTAAAGGGAGTAGCAGGGGAAGCATTGGACATGGTCATTGAGAACTCAGGGGGTAGAGAGGATTGGGAAAGCGTTACTAGAGTCAGCGGCGGCTCCAGGCACCAGCGCTCCAAGCACGTGCCTGAGGCGGCAAGCCGCGGGGGGCACCCTGCTGATCCCTGCGAGGGCAGCAGTCAGGCAGCCTTCGGTGGCATGCCTGTGGGAGGTCCACCGGTCCCGCAGATTCGGCGGCAATTCGGCGGCGGGTATGCCGAAGCTGCGGGACCGGCGGACCTCCCGCAGGTGCGCCGCCGACGGCAGCCTGCCTGCTGTGCTTGGGGCGGCAAAAAAGCTAGAGCCGCCCCTGAGTAGAGTGTCTGGTTTTGAAGGGGGAAGGTAACCTAGGGAACTATGAACCGGTCTATTTCATTTAAATACATGGTGAATTGCTTTAAAAAAATAAATCAAAGCAGACAATTTCGGAGAGGACAGTGAGGCGCTAACTAGTAGGCAGCACGTATTTGTCAATAAAGTAGTCTTGTCAAACTACTGGAACTGAATTTATTTCCTTGAGAGGATTTCAGGATTAGTAGTTAGAGGAAACACAGCAGACTTTGTACAGTATGTCATCATTTTCGTAAGGCATTCACTACAGTTCCACATGGAATCCTCAGGAGGAAACTCTAAAAGCGGATTGGATGAAAATACTATATAATGGACACACAAGTCAAAAACAAGTTAAACACACAGGGCCATATCATGGCACCAGCCAGTTGAGTTGAGAGTTCTGTTGAAACACGAAGGGTGTAATCTACCCAGAGTAATTATTCATGGTTTGGTATCAGTAGAATCGTACCAGGCTCTTTTCATTAGGAACACAGTGGCTGTGGAGAACATAAAAACAAATCTGAGGATGATACCAAGTGATTGACATTGCTGTAGATGGCAGGATTAAAAGACACTAAAATCTTGACGAATTACACAAATAGGCAAAAATTAAGACTGCGAAATTCATTGCAGAGGACTATAAAATAATTCATGCAGTCTTGCATCTGAAGAAGTGAGGTTCTTACCCACGAAAGCTTATGCTCCCAATACTTCTGTTAGTCTCAAAGGTGCCACAGGACCCTCTGTTGCTTTCATGCAGGAAGACATTCTCCAAGGTACAACCAGCTATAGAATGAGAACTGGTTGCAGTTAGCCATTATATTGCACAATCCACTAAAGAGAACCAACTATGGGCTGCTGGCACACACAAAATACCTGCTGTAGTCTCTTATGTTAATAGGAGTATTGCACATCACACAGTAATGATGCCACGCTGCCCTGGATCTGAAATACTTAGCTTAACTTGCACTGGAGAAAATGGAGGTTAAATATTAGCAGTGAACTGAGTGGTAGGCTTTGGAATTCTCATCAAAACAGATTTTAAAGCTTACACGCGGCACCTACTGGTATCCAGGAGGGATGTTTGGGATAACGAATTCCAGTCTATCCAAGGACTAAGGAAAGGACTTTACCCACCAGAGTTGTCTTCAACTCAAAGGATCCTACTACTTAATACCCATCTATGTTAGCTATTCCACTGAGATCTTCCATTCCTAGAACCACAGGGCCAACAGAAGGTCACCTTTCTATCCACCCACCCACACAGCCATCCACTTATATTATGTTCAAACCAGAGCACCCAAACACCTCTCTTAAATTAAAAGATGACCTGCTCTTTCTCTTCCTTCTCTGCCAGCCAGAAGCAGGCTTAGGGGGGTTGGGTGTTTTTTATTAATGAATCTGTGAGACTGAGGGTATTATTGTGGGAAAGCCTGGGTGAAGTTTCTGCATTTAGCTCTGAATGTGGTAAGGTTAATTCTTGGCCTTATATCCTCCGGCAGCATACTCCCCATTCTTGCTCTAGTTCCTGGGAAGGTTCTGTCTCCTTCGTTCATGAGATTACACCTCTTGCTTGACAGTTTTATTGTTGCAGTGGAATGCAGCTATCATGGGAGGTCGTAGCTGCAGAAGGATAGTGGATCTCACAGTTGACCAGGACCAATGCCATGCAGGGCTCTGGAAATCAGGCCAGCAGCCTTGAATTGGCTCCTGTGTTCAATGGGGAGCCGGTGCGGAGGGTGGCATAACAGGGTGTTGTGTTCCCAGTGACCTGTGTTGCTGCGCGGGTGGGTTGCTGTGTTCTGAACCAAGCTGGGGCTTCCTCGGGGCATGGGCTTCCTTCCTGGAGAGAAGGAATTGCAGTAGCCTATCTTAGATGAGGCCAGGGCTGCATTCGGTAGGATGAGGCACATTCACTTGGACACCACAGCTGGTAGTGAGCATTTCTTGCTGCTGTAGCTACTTGGGTGTCCAAGGACAGTGCAGGGCCTAGTAGGACCCCAAGTCTGCGAGCTGATTTCACAATCTGAGGGCAAATGCCTTTTCTGGAAGGGATTATTATGGAGGATGAGAGCTCATCAAGTCACTTCTCCCTTCCCACTAGCATCGCTTCAGTCTTCAGCTTCACCCAGCTGCTCTTCTCCAGGTGCTGGTTTCAGAGAGGCAGTCAGACAGCTTGGGGATGGCGCTGACATCAAGGAGAAGCAAAGCTGGCGGTTATCTGCCTCCTGCTGACATTTCAACCCGTGCTGTGTCTCCCACTAGCTCGCCTGGCGGTTTCATGTCTTCACCAATGGGCCTTTCTAGAAAGAAGTAAAGATACAAACCTCCCCTCTGCAGGTGACAGGATGCTTGGCTGGATCGAGAGAGTGGTGCCTCACCCTCCTGGGACCCCTCACCAGCCACCCCTAGTGGAGAACGGAGACAAAAACGCAGATCCCAGGGTGATAACTGTCACACCCAGGCCAGGAGAGGCAGAGCAGGTGAGCGGGGAGCAACCAGGGGAGATGGGGGAGCTAAGGGGCTGGCCACTGCTGGGCTGGGCGGACTACCCATCCGCTCACTTGTTAGATAGAGGGCGGGGTTACGTGTCAAACCACAACCAAACAGATGTTGTCGATGAGACTCTTCCTGGACACTGGCCGAAGCCGGGGAGTGCGGGTTAGAAAAGAAGTGTCTTGGCCAACAGTGTGAGTGAGGCTTGCACAGCGCATGTAGGCTGACAGGCAGCAAGTGTGAAAAATCGGGACAGGGGTGGGGGGTAATAGGAGCCTATATAAGAAAAAGCCCCAAATATCAGGACTGACCCTATAAAATCGGGACATCTGGTCACCCTAAGCACATGCCAGCAGCCCAATACACGATTCTAGCTGGAGCTTTCGTTCTCTTGTTTTCATGAGCAGTTTTCCAGGCACTGTTTGAAATTGCTGCACCTTTGGGCACGTCTATACTTACCTCCAGGTTCGGCGGTAGCAATCGATCTTCTGGGATCGATTTATCGCGTCTTGTCTAGACGCGATAAATTGATCCCGGAAGTGCTCGCTGTCGACACCGGTACTCCTGCTCCACGAGAGGAGTAGGCGGAGTCGATGGGGGAGCCTGCCTGCCGCGTGTGGACCCACGGTAAGTACCTTGTAGTTCGAACTAAGATACTTCGACTTCAGCTACGTTATTCACGTAGCTGAAGTTGCGTATCTTAGTTTGAACTGGGGGGTTAGTGTGAACCAGCCCTTTGTGTTAGTTCATGAGAACCAGAAAGTGAAATGGACTAGAAACAAAGGTCCCGATTCTCCAGTTGGAAGCGCGTGAGCAGACACTCACGCCCATTAACTTACATGCCTAAGTGATTCCGAATGCAGTATATGGATCCATCTGTAAACAGAGATGAAATGGGACCAGTCTATAGTCATTGTCCAGACTGTGGGAACTGTAGAAAAGGAGGGTGAAGTCATTGAGATTTTAATTCAGGTTTGATAAGCCCAGGTCAATTTAGGAGTACAGGGATGGAAGTTGTAATGTCACTTTTCACCTGAAATCTTTCCTTTAATGTTTTAATCCCTAAAAGCTGCCAAAAGGAAACTCCACAGGTCCAGGAAAATCTTCCAACTGCCGTCAGACCGAGGGTGAGTTCCTGCAAACAACGTTCCTGAAAAATCTAAACTTCATAAATGAAAATAGCAAGAGCGTATGGTAGGTCTCCAGAGCATGCCCACTCAGCCAGCTTGGGAAGGGCTCTGGGGTCAGCTATGGCTACTCATCTCTCTCCCCTGCTGGAAGCCAGACATTCGGAGTGGGTTTCACCACGTAGCAGAGTCTACTAAGCAGCTGGCATGGTCCCATGACAGGACTCAGTGTTTGCTCCCTTTACGCCAGCTCAGCTGAGACTTGCCCAGGAGACACCAGCTCTAAATCAGAGCTTCCTCCATGTCATGCCGGTACAGTTGTGCTAGGATTTCTCAGCCAGCCGTCACTCTTGCACATACATTGTTCACCACTGCCCAGATACACTCAGCCTTTCAGCCCATGCCTCTAGCCCACGCCACACCCTCTGGGCGGTGTCTCTGGTAGCCAATCACCACCTTCTCCTCATCCATTTTTCCTCAGTCGTAGAGGTGTACAACAGCATGTTCGCGGTGTGGCTCCCCCACAGCCTTCACAGTGCTGTCACCGCATCGCCAGGCAGCGGAGAAGCCTATGCCGATGTTAACATGGATCTGCACACGCAAAGCTTTGTCAGGGTGCATGAGAGCGGGTTTCACATCGCTGCTGGTGTTACCTGATAGAATCTGGCATCTCTGCACAGCAAGAAAAACCAAAGAGATGGCGATTTGAAAGTGTATTTAAAAATGTCTCGAAAGCAAACAGTCTGGCTTGCGCTAAGAAGATATAGCTATTTAGGCCCCCGGTGGTCATTCTAACAAGTGTTTTTTATTTATTTTTTGCTTTCATTTAGGGGCAGGGAAGAAAGTGACATTCATCACAACCCAGGAACCAGGCCCATCCTCAGTGTCTTCAGCTGAAAGGTGTCTTCCTCTTTTTCTCTCCCTTTCTCTTTCTCTCTCACACTCATGGCAGCGAGGAGTTAGGGTTGGAAATACCAGCTGAGAGAGGACTTTGAACCAATATGAATTCTGACTTCAGATAGAAAGCCGGGCTTTAGAGAGCTGCTAGACATCCGGCTCTGGGGTGGATCTGTGTGGAGAAGGAAACTTCTGCATCCTGATCTCCCCAATTACATACCAAAAGGAGCTTGGTTGCCTCCATGGCATCTCCCTGGTCTCACGGAGTCCCCTCCACTGAGGTCCTCTTGTGGGCAGGGAGTGGAGAAAGGGGATGCTGAGGAGGAATGGGCAGGCCAGGGGCAGGGCCAACGGAGCATTATCATCTATCCAGCTCTGTGGAACTTACTAAGGAAAGGTGACAGCCTGAGGCGGCATTATCTTTTCCCCAGAGTCCCCTCAACACTGGGGATCTCCTTTTTAAGGCTGGGGTCTCTGGGCCTTGGGGGAGTCTGTTGGCATGGCTCCATTGGGCTGGCTGGGAGTTGGAGATGGACCGATGGGGACACATTGCTGGAGCAGAGCTCTCAGTGACTGGCCCGATCGCCTACAGATTCCACAGGGTCCACAAGGTTCCTAGAGGATTCTGTGATCTGCTGCATGGAGGAGGGGAAACCCCACTTCTTTGTGGGGGAATCTCCACAAGGGAAAGTGTATGAGATAAACTGTCCCCTGCGGTTTGATTAGCTTGGCAGACCCTAGCCGGTCCGTTCTCTTGCAGTGCTGGAAGGGGTGTACTTTCATGGCTATCTCAGGAGCTGGGAAAGGTAGTCCCTCAGCCAGCCCAGAATCCAGGGATGCTGCAGACCGTCGGGAAGAGCTTTGAGACCAGTTTGGACTTCCCTGACCAGGTATGTACCAGAACCTGATCGATGGGCTCACTCAGTAACGGCGTTTGATTTTCATGCCATAGTTCCCCTATTGTGAGCAGCATGTTAGCCAGTGGCTTTAATCAGTGTTTTGTGTGTTCTCTTCAGACTGAAGTCCAGAGCATAAAGGAAGATGACGACCTACTAGGTACAATTTTTACTAATGATAGAATATTAATACTTAGCTTTTATATAGCACTTTTCATCAGTAGTGCTCAAAGAACTGTACAAAGGAGTTCAAGAGCATTATCCATGTTTGACAGATGGGGAAACCGAGGCATGGAGCAGGGAAGTGACTTGCCCAAGGTCACCCATCGAGCTAGTGGCAGAGCCAGGATAGAACTAACATCTCCTGAGTCTCAGTCCACTGCTTTAGTCCACTCGGCCACTCTGCTTAAAGGTGGCTGCAGGTGCAAAACGGTGAAATATCCTCTTCTGTCATCATAGGCTCACCATGCACTGCAGCAACTCACCCGTCCTGCCGGTTGGCCGCGCTCAGGAGGGAGCATGTCACCTGCTGCTCTTTAGGGGCTCGGAGGGATTATACTGTATCCCCAGCATGCTCCAGTGTATCTTGTCTTGCCCACCCCACGCGTGACTCCTCCGGAACTGAGAACTCCAAGCAGCTCCGAGCGATGAGCCCCAGCTGTCAGGGTGTCTGTGTGTGTGTGAGAGAGATCCTGACTGAAATGGGCTGTGCACGCCCTCAGCTCCCTGTACATATACCCGATACTGAGCTCTCTAGTAATGAGAGCTGCAGGGATGGCCCTGAGCACAAGTAACTCACCGCCTGATCTCCTTCAGCAGCAAGACTGGCAGGGAAAGTGAAATCGCTGCCCAGTCTCTCCCGACGAGCGATGGGACTGGGAGAGGATTCCCCATTCTTTTGAGAGCCTCACGGCACTTTCCACTGTTTGATGCCCCTGTCTTGGTTCGCACAGATTGTAAAACCAGTCTTGGGGCAACAGGGAGCAGGCCTGAAGTTACTTAGGTTGTAATTTGGGGGCAGGGACTGTCTTTCTGTTCTGTTTGTACAGTGCCTAGCACCATGCAGCCTAGACGCTACAGTAATACAAATAATACAGACTAGCTGCTGGGAAGAGCCAGGCTGTACAGTCCTTCGAAGTCTCCATTGTCCCCCGTCAGCTTGTATTGTTCATTAAACCAGCCCATTGGGATTGATGCCAGGTCTGAGCAATGCTGGGCTCATAGAGTTTCGGGCCAGAAGGGACAGCAGGTCACCTAGTCTGATCTCCTGTATATCACAGGTCACCACCACCACCTGCAGAGCAAACCCAGTGCCTGATTGGGTGGTTGTGGGTTAATCAGCTGTGGCTGAAACCTACAAGGGTCCTTTGCAATCCTGGGTTTTGCATAGTTCCCATTGTTTGTTTCAGCAGAGCTGGTTAGCTGTCCTGATGCTGTCTTTTTATTACTTTCCCCCTCAAGAGATAACCACCCTCGCTCCAGATGAAGAGGAGCTTCAGGAGCATAGCGAGTTGCATTCCAGCTCAGATAATAATGCCTCAGAAAAAGGGTAAGTTCCCTTAAGCCCCCCGAAAGCTGTGTAGCATGGATTCAGTCACTTTCCTCTTCTATTTCATGCACACGAGGTTCTCCGTTGAAGCTCTAATCTGATAGCCACCCAGAGGGGGTTGCCACCTTCCCTCTTGACTCGCAGCCAGATTGGGTTGAATATGCTCACAACTGCTGTGCTGCTGGGGAGATTGGGGTAGTGCGTTGCTCTGAAGGATAATGGAGATGGTGTGTGGGAAAAATCAACCCTTTTTATTCATTGGACTGAAAACTGCAGGGGTCTTTCCCTCGTGCGCTAAGGGAAGGTGGGCCTTCCATGGGTGCCCAGGATTGAATGAATATGAATGAATATGAAGGCTGGATTTCTCTTCACATCCCATGAAAGGGGAATCTCTGTAGGGCAATGCTGGCATCATGGTTGCCACCTGAGTCTGTCTCCAGAGTGGTGATGCAGATTTGTTTAAAAATCCACTTCTCAAAATCTTGTCATGGTGTCTTGCCTCCGGCGCCTGTGACTCGCTGTGGCCTTCTGGTCTGATAGACTTTATTGCAGACAGTGTCATTCTGTTCTAACCCTGCTGGTCCCCGGCTGTAGGGTTGATGCAGCTCTGCATTTTGCTCAGTGAATGCAATGAGGTACAAGTAGAGAGCAGAGCCCCAGGACAGGCAGGGTGCCACCGGAGAACCAATGCCAGTCTCATCCTGGAGGAGGCAAAAGCAGTGCCCAGTATTTCTCTTTAGTTTGATTAGCGGCGCGGGAGAGAGAGAGAGATGGATGCCCCACACTGCCCATATAGTTTCATTAAAATGTATGTCTAGGATTTCCCCAGAGACACCTAAGACAGCGAGGCACTTAAACCCCATTCAACAGGAGGGCACCCAAGTCCCTCAGGCTACTTTGCAGATGCCAGCACATCGCACGTCTGATCCTTCCAGCTCATGGTGACTTTAATCTGGCAGCCCAGAGAAGTTTAGTGATTTGCTCAAGATCACACACCATGACAAGATTTTGAGGAGAAGTGGATTTTTAAACAAATCTGCATCACCACTCTGGAGACAGACTCCCGGTAGCAACCCTGATGCCAGCATTGCCCTACAGAGATTCCCCTTTTATGGGATGTGAAGAGAAATCCAGTCTCCATATTTGTTCAATCCTGGGCACTCAAGCCAATCTGGAAGGCCCACCTTCCCTTAGCGCAAGAGGGAAAGACCCCTGCAGTTTTCAGTCCAATGAATAAAAAGGGTTGATTTTTCCCACACGCCATCTCCATTATCCTTCAGAGCAACGCACTACCCCAATCTCCCCAGCAGCACAGCCGTCGTGAGCATTTGTTCAAGATCTGTCAGTGGCAGGGCTGGGGGTAGAACTGTCTGATTCCCTGGTGTGGACCCCTGATCTAATTGTGGAGGGTCTATAGGGTAGGGTAAAATATAATCCGCCTGCTATGTCTGCTCATAGAAATAATAATGGAACAAGCAGTATTGAAGCGGTAACAGCAAGCAGGGAGCACACGTAACTGGGTTCCTAGGCTTTGCTAGAGTAAAAGAGCCCAGTGTAAAAAGCTTAATTTTAGTCAGCCTCGGGCTGAATTTTAAGTGAAGTCAATGCAGGCCTGAGGAACCCTAGGTCACGAATGATACCTTCTTATTAGATGTCACAAACAAGTGACCAGAGAAGCACAGGTACACAGCAAGTTGCCCAAGTAAGAGGGAGTTTGGGGGATTTTCTCCAATGTCTTGTACCGTAGTAACTAGGTAGTTAAACCACAGTGATGCATGTGGTCTATGAAGAGATGGATTGACTCATATTGGATAGGTCAGTGATCGGAAGTATAATCATGGACACCCAGATTACCACGTATGGCTAATGGGCAGGTGTTAACTTTATTATAGTCACGGAAGAGCATCAAAAAGGGTTCTGTATCTCAGTGGTTACATAAAGAATAGGTATAAAAGACGTGACTTAGTTCCCTAAATTTTGGGTGCACTGGATTCTCGAGATGGTGTAACTGAATCAGGACCAACACTCTGATGTGCACCACTGACTGGTCCTCCCATCTTTGTTTCTAACGTCTCCAAAGGTTGTAAGTACGCACAATGCAAGACTGTATGTATGAACAATGTAGGAAACACTTTACTGTAGTTATCTGATTCATAGATTTATGTATATTAATTTTTCTGTGACTTCAGTTATATTTGTCGGTATTAACTAAATCTCAGAGAGTTGCTGTGTGCTTCACCAGTTTCATCTTTTTAATTACCTATAAGTAGCCCCCAGAATAAAGAACCTGTTGTTTGTGACAAGAACATGTTGCACCCCAATAAGCAATTTTATAATTGCAATAATCAGCCTGGCTACACTGGACAACACTCGCTCCATGTTTTTCTGAATCCCAGCCACACACCCGCACACTTGGCTCTGCAAAACTGGATTGGAAATGTTATGAGAGCAGGTGTTTGCATAGTATTTTGGTACTTCTCCTTCCAGTCTAACTCAAGTTTGGGAAACACAGAGATGCAGACAGTGATGATGAAGCTAACTGCACTCGTCTGAATTGCCAGAAAAGGCTCGGACATTTTGATTTTGCATGAGGTTTTTGTGATGGGGCTTATTTTACAAAGTCAGCTTGCCTGGTTACTAGTATTTCTGATGGCTTTGGTTGGGATTTATTGGTAGACCAGGGTGAGAATTCTGCCTTCTGCCCCCTCTCAGTTCTACCCTGTCTCAGGTAATTCATCAGAGCCTGATTCACCCTTCTGTCTGTCATGCCAATTTCACTTACTCTATGTATAAAATTGCACATAAGGCTCTGTTATATTGATCCCCAGCTATTCTCTGTATGTATTTAACACTGAGAGGGATTTAGGGTCCCTTGCTTGGGGGTATGTGGCCTGGAAAGCAATGAAACAGCTGAGTTCTGGTGTGGAGAGGTCTGACCAGATGAGCTAATCTAGCCGAGGGGGCTCTGTGGTTCTCTCTGTCTGCTGCAAAGTATTGCTGCACAGTGACTGCCTGTGTTAATGGGGTGAAATTATCTGGCCTCTGATGTGCAGGAGGTCCAACTAGAATGATCTAATGGCCCCTTCTTGCCTTAAACTCCGTGAATCCGTGTTGCTATGCAGGAAAAGGGGGTAATTTGGGGATGAACCATGTCTGACCATTGGTCCTGTGAACGATGGAGATCTGCTGGCCAAAACACCCACAGAGAAGGGATATAGAGGTTGGCAGATGCCAGTAGCATCTGGAGGAGAGTGCCTTGTGGAGATGCTTCAGGTCTCTCTTCTGTGCCCCGACTCTGGGTTTGAGGGAGGTGGGGGGAGAGATTCTGTCCTTTCCCCAGCCTCTGCAAAAAACCTGATTATTTGGGCTTTGCACAGCAGCCGAGGACTTGGCCCTTAGCTGTCGAGAGCAATCTTCCAAGGCCTGGAGGAGAGAACAGGAGAGGAGAGGCGAATGGATCTGCTCCAGCTCTAGTGAGGGTAAAAAGGAGAACTGCCTAACGGTGGGTGATCTCTCTCTGCAGGACCGGCAGCAGGGTGATTAGCTGGCTGGTGCAGGGGTTTGGGAAAATGATCCCGCAGCCGGAAAACATGAAGAAGCTTGAGGTGAGTGCAGCAAAGACAAAGAAGAGATGTAGTCACTGCAGCACAAGAGAAGCACCAATACATGTCATGAGCGCACACATCCCAGTGTGTAAGGACGAGTCCTACTTTTCCATAGGTTTACAGGTACACCCACACACACCCACACACGCACGCAACGGCTCCTCTCAACCCTTCCCCCACCACAGGTCCATGCAGGATGGTCACTAGCCCCCTCCTTTTCTCACATTACTGAAACACAGAGGAGGAAGATGGAAGGACTAGGGACTACCGTTGTCTGAGGCCCCTTGTAATTACAGGAGTTTGCCCACCTGATCTTAATGAACATTCTATGCTCAGTGACAAGCAAGGAAGGCCCTTGGCAGTATGGCCATGGGGAAAATTGCTGCCCAGGGCCAGATTTGATGCAGGCAAAACTCCCCATGGGAGCAGAAATCCGTGTTGTTAAGCATCTGCTCCGTGCACTCATCCGGCTGCTCCCAATGCCCTCACAACGGTTGTTGTTTTTTCTGGAATCCCCACAAGGTGGAATCTACCAGTGCCTATGGAGAATTCCAAAGACCGATCAACCTCAGAAGAAAAGAACGCCGGCATTGTCGATTTCTCCTGTAACGACTTAGTTCAAACAGATCTTTATTCCAGTCTGTGTGATCCTTTTTGGGTACTTATGCACTATAATAAGATGATATGATCTCCAGACCGTATAGCAGTGGTCCCCAAACTTTTGAGGGTCACGCCCCCCCCACCCCTGTTCATGCCCCCCTGCCTCCCTCGGAGCTGGGCCAGGAGCAGGGCTGCAGCTTCGGTGGGGGGGATGTGCCCCACAGTTTGGGGTCCTCTGCTTTATAGGCTCAAGCACTTCAGCCTATGTTGTCATAGGAAGACCCCCTGATGATGATGACGACAATAATACCTAGCACATCTCATCAGAAGATCTCAAAGCACGTTCCAAAGAAGGTCAGCATCATTGCCCCCATTTTGCATATGGGGAAACTGAAGCACAGATAGATCAAGTGAGTTGACTAAGGTCATCCAGCAGGCCAGTGGTAGAGCTGGAAATAGAGTGCAGGGCTCCTGACTCCCAGTCCAGTGCTCTATCCGCTAGGCCATTAATGTTGATCTTTTGATCAGTTTAGTAACTTCTTTGTATTGTCTCCAGGATTTGTAAAGTTACTTAAAATAATTTTCTTGAGACCCCTCCCCTCCTTTGCCCAATGATGTTGTTTTAAGACATTGGGATAACAGGGACTGCTCAAATTGTAGCTTGGGACAGTTCCCTGGATTGCTCTGCCAGACAACTGTGTCATCAAGAGATGGTGTAGTCCGTGCATGGTACTCCGTGCACACACAGACATGTACACAAGTCCTCTGACCCCCAAAAGTGATGGTAGCCTCTCAACCT